AACTGCATTTTTTTTTTAATTCCCCCGCAGGGAATCAGTGTAAGAAAGGAAAGAAACACGAAGCCAAGAGTCTGTTGGGACGAGAGAGAATCGCGTTACAATGCTCCAACAACCACTTCTCGCTATTTATCTTATCAGCCCCATATATATATGTGCTATAAACTATCCCATTGCAGTCGGAAGACGAGGGGAAGTAAAGTGCTTTTTATCTGCCGCCGAATTGCTTCCTGTATTCTGCCACCGCTCTTTTCGCCTCAGTGTTAACTGGCAAACAAAGCCACAGACCCAATAAAAATGACTTGAGAAGGGGGGAATTGCAAAAGGTGTCCTGCCAACTGAGCGCCAGGTACAACTGGGCACAAACCAACTGAGCGCCAGTACATAAAATTGGTACCACACATCTAAAGCAGTAAAAATTGTGAATAATTTTTTAAATTGTGCCTGTTTTGGGAATACAGTACCTTGGCTTAATGATATAATTGCTATGCAGCAGCATTTAGCGGTAAATTTTGGCACAATTGTCCACTTGCCCACATAAAACTGAAATTCTTCAAAGCGTTTGTAATACAGGTGGTACCTTGAAATTCAACCCAGACTAGGGTCAAATTGCAAGACACTTCATGAAATTGAGAAATACCAGCACAAAAATGCAAAAAAAATTTGGCCAAAGCAGGCCAAATTCCAGGGCAGAGGTTGAATTGTGCAGCACCACCTGTATATAGAAATATATTTTTAACATTCTTGTATCATATAGACAAACAATTGTTTTAAAATTGTAATGCAATATCTCCAAAAATATATTTTGAGGCAACCAGCAACTTCATTGTCACCATGCAGAAAGTTTTCACTAGACAAAACAACAGGGGTTCACTGGTACTATGACAAACCATATTAAAAATATCCAGCATTAAGAAAATAATCCCATGTTTTGTAAATTTTATTTTTATGAAGGGCACAGTGTGCAGGCTTTTTTATTATCAATCACAGTGGTGTAATAATTAATTCCACTGGTGCTTATAGCACAGGGAAGTGAAGAAAAGGAGGAAAAGAAGTGCAATGAAAAGCAATTTGACTCACATTTGTCGATCCTCGATTTTTTCAACAGAGCGACGAATGCAAAATTGACAAAGAAAACTGTCAAGATTCCAACACAACACTATAGCTTCGACAATTGACAAAAACCCTGCAAAATATTTCATCACAGATCAACACATGGTCTCAAACAAAAGATTGTGCAAATTTCGAAGCTTAAAGGTTTTTCAAAAAATGAATTTGAAGGCTCGCTCCAATTTCATTCGAAATTTAATGAATTTCGGAAGAAACTGCGCACGATTTAATTTTGAAAAATTAAGAAATTCTCTAAATCACCAGGAATTATATATTTTCTTACACGCAACATCACCGAAGTCGGATAATTCCAGCGAATGAAAAATTAAATAAAAATTCTTTGATATTCACATATAATTAAAATCTGAGGCCTTGAAATCATGCAACACATCCACCGAAGGGCAAAAGACGCGAAAAAGTGACGTGGCTTCAGGAAGGACTAAAAAAAAGTTGCAGAAAGTCCCGAAGGATTTCTGTTGAGTGAGTTCAATTTTGAAGAACCATTTGAAGTCGAAATGCACTATCAATTACGGCGCAAATTGTACTGCTATGCTTGACTGATTTAGTTTTCAAATATAAAATTCAACATAATAAAAAATTGCACCAAAATGGCAACTTGGAAGTAAAGATAATTTTTTATTCCATTCCTTGTAAGATGAACACTTCAAAAGTCTTTTCAGCAGCAACAATAACATCCTTTCTAAGACCTTCTTTTGAGAATTTTTTCACATCTCAACCCATGCGCAACAAAGTCAGGATATTTTTGCAAAATTTTGTCCCAATGAGGACTGCCAATTTAAAAAAAATGCAATTTTTGAACCAAGGTCTAAGTCAGGAAAAATCCAATATTTTTTGTAATCCTGCACAAATTTTTGGCTCAAAATAAATTCCTCCATGGGTGGCATTTTTTCATGCATCACCAGCATTGGATTAACATTGGGGATTTCTTGAGACAAATTGGATGTTTTGCACCCCAATTTTTCTCAACTTACATACGCTTTGGCAACCTGGGGGCATTTGAGTGACCTTTGGTCAAACTGAAATATGCTCCTCTTCAGCAAAGAATCCTGACTTTGCCTCAGGATAGCCAAGAACCCTCTGACATCCATGGGTAAAAAAGCAGAGATAAAATGGACTTGTCAAAAAAATGATGATTTATTCATAAAATACAGTACTGTAATAGTTGCAAATATTTTGACCCTAAACTATAACATTAAGTTGGAAATTTCAAAGTCAAAGAAATAAAAGGCAGAAAGCGAAAAACTCATCATATTAATAGTGTAAATAAATAGTTTTTTCAATTGCTTTGCACAAGTTTATAACCTTGTTGAAACAGAACTTGAAAAAAAATTGTTCATGAAAAATTATATTTCAAGGTCTCTGATGCAGTGCATCCAAAATATTATCTGATTTTCATAATAAAAACATTTTGCCAAAACGAAGGCTTTTCAAGCTTCAAATTGCTTTATTTGTAACAAGATGTTGCCATTTAAAACAAAAATTTTGCTATACGATTATAAATTCCAGCGAAAAACGGTATTGGACTTATACTCCAGCAAGTGAAAACCAATCCTTAAAGTCACTCAATGTTTCCCGAATCCGGTTCAAGAAGTAAGGAGATCGAGGAAGTCCGGTTTTTTAAATCCCCCGTGTCGTAAAAAAAAAAAACAGCTTCCAGAATGTTCGTGAATGTTCCGGTATCTTCCAAATCTTCTTCCCTACTTTTTTTCGAGCATTCGATTTCCGTTTGAACTGAAACGTAAGCAGTATATTTGATTAGTTATGGATTTGTAGAAAAAAAATCGATGCGGGCGTCTTCCAATTTAATGAAAAATTAGCGCTAATTTTAATTTCGACTTGACTCGTCATCAGGAAACATTTTTCGCACTTTACACGCCAAAATTATCAACGGGTTTTTTCTGTCTTTATTTTCGATGGAAGAAGGTGTGAATCTTAAATTTTTATTTGCAGAAGACGAAATTTAAACGCGGAAGAAGGAATTTAGTGTCATTTTATTTTTCTTCGGGGTCCCATGAATAGAGTATTTTGCGATTTCCTCATCGGATCAAAAACCGGTGTAACTTATTTGCATGCGTAAAGACGATAAAATAAAAATTAGTTGATCATTTCCAGGCAGTGATTCCGGTGACAGGTGACAGGCTTTCATTACATATACGGAGTGGTGATAAAAACCCGGGTGTTTGCTCAACACTATGTTTTTATCAGCTCATCCGGGGCCGAAAAGGCAAGCCGATAAAAGCCTTCCATTTGCCGACTGTTTTCTGTATCTTTGGCCGCATTTCCTCTTCTTTCTTTTTTAAAAATATGTATTTGCGTATGTGTGAGAGAGGAGGAAATCGATTTTTTCTGGTCTTGTCAACGCCGAAGTCCCGGGATTCAATTTTTTTTTCCTTTTTAGAGGGGATGGAAAATTATCCCCACTTCCTACTTGGAATTCTTCCTGGAGTGACGATCTTGATGCTTATCTTGTGACAAATAGGGCTGAATGTAGTCTTTTTTAAGTATAGTTGAACTAGTAGGGGACAATGTTTAGGAGACAAGAAGTCACTGATGGTTGATTTTTGGCTGACCAAATCAGGCATTTAATGCAGGTTGAAATCTGACCTTAATCTGTTGCTGGACTAGGGTTGAATTTCAAAGTGGTCAAATTGCAAGACAATGTCAAATGGCATGTTTTATTTTTACGTCGCATTTGACGTTTCATGCGTCTCTGCATGTTGAATTGCACAGAAGAGGTCAAATTGAGAGTCAACTTCCCAGCAGCAAATTTGACTTTTGAATTGCAGGATGGTCAAATTGCAAGGTGCCACGTGTACTGTACTCTGGTTGAGAGCAGAACACATCATTCTGTGTTGGTTACCAAGAATTTAAAAAGTTTTACAAAAGCCGTGCAATTTTATCATCACGTTCTAACAGTTGGTACTCCTCAATTTGTCAACCCTGCAATTGAAGGGTCAATTTTGCTGAGTTAGAGGTTGACTTGCAATTCACCCTCTGCTGCCCTGTAATTCAACCCACAAAGAGACACAAAATGTCAAATATGATGTCAAAAACATTGCATTTGACATGGCCGCACATTTCAACCCAAGTTGAGCAACAGATTAGGGTCAAATTGCAGAGCACCAATTGTATCAATGTCAAACAACCGTAATGTTCATTTATATAGTTCAATTGAGAAAAACCTTTTAAATAAATGCTTTTTCTTGTTAAAAGTTTTATTGGTGTAAACATATTTTACACAAACATCAATTCAAAAGTAATTATTTATGCATGCATGGCCATTCATGTGTTGAAGATTAATATTGTTTTATGTACATAAAGATACACGTTGAGTTCAATGCAAGGATTTATGAATTCTTCACAAAATGCAGCAGGCATTTTCATTTGATAAGCAGATATTCTTTCATGATGCAACAGTTGAACTTTGTCCCACATGAGGAGAAGAATACTTTTTGTGTCCAGTCCCCTTCCCCCTCCCCTAAAAAAAAAAAAAAGAGGCAGCAGGCTGTAAAAGGAAGGACTACCCAGTAAAAACAGGGTGTTTCTCCTGATCCACTACTGAATGAGCTGCTGCTGGGAGGTTTACAACACCTCATGGACTCAGGCCCAGGAATGCAAAGACTCATGTCCTGTTTAATGCTTTTATTCCTTCCCTGCATCACACACACACACACATACAATCTTGCAACAATCAAGCCAGGAAAAGGAGGATCAAGAATCAGAGATGGTGGGCTTGACAACAGGGGTCACTTGGTGTTTTTCTTTTTCTTTCAAATTTTTGTGCCACTATCTTTCACACACTATCTTTCTCTCCCTATATTTTTTTATGGACATGTGCTCTGAATTTTTTTTTCTTCTTTTTTGTTCACCAGGAAGTAAAGACTCCTCTTTATTCCCTCTGCTGACTCTATTACCATTCTCTGCACTTAATCTTGCTGATGACTAGTTACAAAAATCAAAACCATCCAAAGACTAGAAGAAACTTGAGTTTGAGAACCTCCAAAGTCAGTATAGAAGAAAGTAATCCATTGAACATATTCCTATATGAAGCCAATGAGTCCAATTTGTTTTTTCTTTGAAAGGGAGAGTTATCACAGTTTTGACCACTAGTTTTGCAACATGGCTTCTCTGCTGAACTGGTGGGCATGTAAAAGAAACAAAAAGTTTTTTGGTGCTGATGTGGAAGATCTTCTACTTTCATGTGATCATTAAGTATAATTGGGTGAAAATCATTCCTCAGTTGTGTTAATTATGTGACTGCAAAATTTTTGTTTAAACCCCATTGCAAAATCTAAGAAAAGGGCAAGAAAGGAAGGAAAACATCACAGTGTTGCCAATTCGGAAAATAAAATAAAAACTAGGTGGTGTTGATCATTTAAAGCTCTTTCTTTCTTTTTTTTGAAAAAACCAAAAAGGAGTGACAGGAAAATCAAATGAAACGCAATCACAGTGCCATGATGGGGATTTTTTGCGTGTTACTTCAAGATGGCCTCGATGCTGAACTCTGTCTTTTTAGGCGGCTGCGGGAACAGTGGCGGCGGTGGCGGCGCCGCAGCAGCAGCCGCGACCGCCACGGCTGCCGCCGTCGCGGCGTCCATGTGTGTCAGGAGGTGTGTCTTGAGGTTGGAGCGCTGGTTGAAGGCCTTGTGGCACAGGTGGCATTTGTGCGGCGACTCGTCCATGTGCAACACCTTGTGCACCGCCAGAGTGCGCGACTGACAAAAGCCCTTGCCGCAATGCTCGCACTTGAAGGGCTTCTCGCGACTGTGGATGTACCTGAAACAAATCGATATAAACGAAAAATTTATGAAATGCAAGCCCTCTTTTTAACACGTTTTTATTAACTCGCTTTCTTGTCTCTTTGTTTGTCCGGATCAAATTTTGCAACTCAAATTTCGCTCACTTCCTGACTAATTGTTGGGAAGAAGTGAAATACAAATGAAATAGATGCACACCACGTTTAAGGTTATTTTTTGCTTTTTGAAAACGTATTTTTTTAGATTAATTTTTTAATCTACTAAATTTGTTTCCACTTTTCTAACAAATAAAAAATTAGTAGGCATTTAGAAAAAATATTAGCGGAAAATTATTGCCGGCTCAAAAATCCACACCTTTCCGCATATCCATTGGGACAAAGTTGGCAGGAAATTTCACCCTTTCAAAATTGTTTCTGCTTTAAAAAACAAACAAACAAGTATATTCAATTTTTAAATGATACCAAACCAAAGTGTTGAAAGGTAACAATTTAAGTTTAGGTAGTGTTGTAACAATTTAATGCGTTACAAATGCATTCCCAACGCATTGCAGAAGAATTTTTCATCACACTACTTATGAGAAACAATGGAAATTAGAAAGGCATAGCAGAAACAGCTGGGTGTAACAGTTATGCATGACAAATTCATGACAAAATGTATAGCTGTTACACCCAGCCCTTCCTGTAACAAATTATTTGCTGGGTATATAGAAGAAATAATTGCTGAGACTAATAGAAAAAAATAACAAGAAAAGTACCACTTTTCAAATTTTGAAAAGCAAGGAAGTTTGAGGGAAATTTTTGACACTTGAAAAATGTGCTGTGCCTATAAGAAATGAGGATACTGTTGATGCACTGAAATTTTGAATTTAGGGAAAGATTTTTCAAAATTTATCAAGGTCCGTCTCTGTTTTGGTGATTTTTCATTAAATGTTCCATGGTACTGTACTGTGTTTACTCAAGTATACTCAAGCACAGAGAACACATTTTTTTATATTAATTTAAAAGAAAAAATGAGGTATGCATCAAAGGTGGGTATACACATTTTCCAGCAAGTTTTGGAAGTTCAAGCAAGCATTACACTTTATTCTAATGAACAATTTTGGACTAAATTTAACAAAAGAATTTATTTCAATGGAAACAATTTGAAAATTACCTGAAGTCAGTTTCAAATAATTTTTAAATTCGAAATTGGGTCTTTTTTACCTGTGAAATATTCAAGTTTGAGAGTTCATAATAGAATAAGGTGCACATCTTATTCAGGGGTAGAATTTCATAAAATATTTTGACAGAAACCCTCTGGTGGTTTGGGTCTCACTTTGAAGTGCCAGGATATTCAAGTAAGAACAGTATTTTATGAGAAGCACTCATTTTTTGTAAACTGCTTTGCTTGCCATTGGTCCTCATAGAAATACAGTGAGACCCCTAGATGCAGACATAATTGATTCATCAAGAGTTTCCTGATGTTAAAATGCCTCTAAGTTGAGTCTAATTTTTCCTTAGACTTCAAAGTCAATGTATTTAATTGGTTCTTTGTTCTGTCAAAAATTATTAGAAATAAATCCTCAAAATGGTAATACAATTTTCCCCTCTACTTTGACTTGTAGAAAACAACAGTAAAAAACAAAACCATGCCTTGCTAGAATATACACAGATGACAGAAAAAGGCTCTGAAAAAATGAGCACCATATCTGCTTGCTTTTGATTATGAATTAGAGTGGATTTGTAATTGAAATTCATTTACATTTTTGTGAATATTATTAGCTTGATTTGTTCAAAAGGTATCATAATGAAAACATAAAATGTTTGATGATTTTTTTAGAAAATTTCAGAAAAGTGTCCCTAATAACTTGAGTCCATGTCTGGATGTTGCACTTGCTTTTTTTCAGTTTTCAAGTGTCCTTAATTCAAATTGTCCATACATCAAGGTGTCTGCATATTGGGGTCTCACTGCATGCCCAAGAAACCCCCCAAAATGAAAAGAAACTGATGATTCCATGTACAGGTGGTACCCCACATAATTCCACTCTCATCCATTGCCATATGCAGACTATAGGGTAAAATTGCAAAGCAGTCAAAGTGCGAGACACCATGTGAAATTAAGTGGCAAATAACATTAGAAAAGTGACTGAAAGAGGTCAAAATGCAAGGCAAAGGTCAAATTGTGAGTAGTTGTTTTTTTTTCTTCTTTTCAACTCACTTGTGGTCTCTGAGGTGGTCCTGGCGCCGAAATGCCTTCCCACAAACGTCGCAAGAATAAGGCCGCTCATCAGTATGCGTCCTCTCATGGATCAACAAGTTGTAGCTCTTTGTGAAATGGCGCTGGCAGTATTTGCAAATAAACTGCTTCTTGGGCCTGGCGGACCTCGTGGGCGCCCTGCGCTGGTCCCACAACGCCGGCACACCCATCCCAGCCGCCGCCGCCGCCGCGGTACCACCACCACCACCACCAGCACCAGGGGGTAAAAACAGGGCTCCTTGTCCGGCCATGACAGACGCCGGCGCCGACGCGTTGGTGGTGGCGGCTGCTGCCGCCATCAGCAGCGGCGACGCCGCCATCAGCGCCTGGAACCGAGCAGCTTGCAGCTGGTGAAACAGCTTCAACATCTCCTCGCTTTGATGCATCAGCAACTGTTGTTGTTGTTGTTGTTGGTTTTGATGAGAGCCGAAAGTGGCGGCTGCTGCTGCCGCCGCCGCTGCAGCAGCAGAAGAAGGCGGCACGAAGGCGCCGGCGCCGAGTCGCATGTCGAGCGGAAACGGGGAGGAGGAGGAGGACGAGTCGGATTTGTTTCCGGCTTCCGACGAAGCAGCGTCCATCGCCGCCACTCGACGCCCCGCCCCCTGAAACGGTCCTGCCCACGTTTGAATGGTTATATCGTTTTTTTTTTATTCTTCTTGCTGTTGTTTTTTTCTTTTTCAACAAAGGCGCCACAGCGAAAGCACCCTCGACCACATGCCCACTATATATAGCACTCCTGGAAAGTAAAAAAAAAAAGAAAGAAGAAAGAACAAATTAAATCCCCTTCTCACAAAAATGAGGGGATTCAAGTTTTGCCCACACTCCAATAACCTTGTCCAGTTTGCAGTAAGATCTTGCTACAACACAGACATTGGCAACAATAAAAATTCTTTCAATGCATTTCAATCAATTACAATATACGACTATGCTTTCAATTGATGCTGGCATTGGAACTTGGAAAAAAGGTTTTCTATTAAAGTAGAACCTGTGTAAGTCAAAATTGCTTGAGACCAGGAAAACAAATTCAACTTACAGAGGTTTCAATTTTTGAAGGTTTTCAGTCAAGTTAACAAACACTTTTGTATTGTGAGCAGAAGTGAAAAAAAGTGTGGGAAATCATAAATGAGGATATTCTGGGCCTAAACTTGCTCCTTAATGAGTTTACAACTTGCAGAACTTGGAGGCAGGGGTTTATTTGCTCTATTAGTATTTCACTTCCTTTCAGATGCATCAAATCATTTTTAATGATTTTCTCGGTCATATTTCAAAGAAATAATAACCAGAAAGGCCTAGCAAATTTGACTTACAGAGGTTTAGAAAGAAAGATTTTGAGTTAGGGAGGTCTACAATGCATTGATTCTAAGGGAGTTCAGACAGGGACTTCAAAAAAATTAGACTAAGGGAGGAATTTGACTTACGGAGGTTCAGCTTATCAAGGTTCTCCTGTATAGAAAAATATCAGTTAATGCAGTTGATGAAACAAACCTCTATGAGTCAAAAACCTTCCTATGCCAATTTTTTCATGTTCAATGCCCATCTGAATCATCTTCAAAACAATGTCCTATTGTTAAAATCTCCTTAACACAAGGAATGTCACACACAAACCTTTATGAGCTTCAGGGACAAGGTGAAAGAAGATGTATAGAAATAGACTATCAACTTAAATTTGTTGTAAACAAGAATTTTTATTGAGATACAGTGGCCCCCTGCCTAACAGACCTCCCGTGTAAGGGATTTTTGCCAGACAGACCAGCTCTGCAAGCAGTTTTTCCTCCCGCCCAACAAACAAAATCCACCAAACAGACTTCTTTTGGTTTAAAATTAGCGTTGAAAATTGAAATTTTTAATTTTTTATGTAATTGAATTTGTGTAAAGGACTTTTTGTCCAACAGACTCGTCCCTTGCACAAATCAAGTCCATTAGATGGGGTTGACTGTATTGTTGCATCAAGAGTTTTATTCTCCTGTTTTCACCTTTGCTTCCAAACCAACATTTCTGAAGCCTTTCACTTTGGACAGATTTTTAAACCTTTTTAGACTTCAAATTTTACATGGCAAAAACGTTGCTGAAAACAAAGTATGTCTATTCAAAAAAAAATTGCAGGGCTTCTGTGGTTTCTTGCTATGACATTAATGCACATTTCCTCTGAAATTTCTCAAAAACTGGAAAATATTTATGGATGCAACAGACTTCGGGATTCAATGTTATAATACAAAAATGATAATAATAACTATATGCTTTTGTTATATGCGTTACTTCAGAAAAAAATCGTTCGCCGATTGCAAATTAAAACATCGAGTGGCCTCTCCCTAATTTACAAGACCTACGTTTAATACACTTTTTACATTCTATCAAACTAAGAATATTTCAAAGAATCGTCCGGAAAAACAAAAATTGGAAAAAAACTTATTTGCGTTTTTTAAAAACAAAATTTTTTTTTACATAGAAAGTAACGTTCTATGACCGTTCGCTTCTAGTCCCTTGAAAAAAAAAATAGTAATTCCTTCATTCAAGAATCAAATAGAATTCTGCAGAAGGGAACTAAATTAAAAATAACCGAAAATGGCCAAAAATTAAGCACATGCCATAATTCGGCTAAAACAAAACAAAAAATCTTTCTTAAATCACAGAGAAAATGCACCTCACTTTTGTTCTGCCCTTAAAGTTCAATCACATTTCAAGAATTACTCGAAAATACCCATTCATAAAATATGGAAATCATCATAACTTTGACTTTCAATAATATAATATAACCTCAAAGTCCAGGTTCTCGTGAGAAAAAAATATATATATATGAAAATATAAGCACGACAAATATAAAATAAAACCACGATTGTCAACTGATTTGCACATAACTTTGATCACCCACGCTCCAAAAAATAATAATAAATGTGTCACCGCGGAAACTCTAAATAAAATGTTGACACATCATATACATCCAAACTAAATCTTTTTTTTTTTTTCCCTGACAAAAAAAAATTCCCACGTCAGAAATTCAAACCAAATTATTTTTCCTTCCTGAAAAGAAAAACTACAATCGTTGATACAAAATATAAGGAAGAAAAAAAAAATATTTATAAATATATTCATACGTGTAATGCGGGACTCGTTCGCCGACTCTCTCGCCCCCGGAAGCGCGTGAGCCGGGAGCGGCTGCCGGCGGGCAACTGAAGGGAAGAAGCAGGTCTCAGGCGGGAGCAAGGGGGGAAGCTCCTTCCCCGCTTTGGCATCTGCAGGGGAGGCACCGGAACAGGGACACGAAAAAAAAAAAAAAAAGAAAAAAAAGTGGGGGGAGCCAAGGGGGAAGCAGCGAGGCGCGGCCGAAAAGTGGGAAGGAAGCCAGCATCGAACGGGAGGGAGGGGGTGGAGCTAAGGGAAGGGGAAGCGCCACCACTGCTGGACCTCGATAGGCCCCACCTCTTCCTTCGCGGCTCCTGCTCTGCTCTACACCAACCCGCAGCAGCGGCTGCTTGCCATTTTTTTTTTTTTTTTTTTTTTACTTTCTTTTGTGTTCATGTCTCCTTTGTTGCTGCTTCCCAACGGCAGGCCAGCCTCGCACCCATGTTCTCTCTTTCTATCTTTTCCTCTCTCTCTCTCTCTGGGATGTGCACCCGCCAATTGCCCCCGGAGCAAGGGGCAACTCACAAACTTTTTAACACATTTTTATTAACTTGCTTTCTTGTCCATTTGTTTGTCCAGATCGTTGTTCAACAACTTTCGTAAAATAGTTTTTGGATATCAGGTTTTTTTTTGCTTTTTGAAAACATGGTTTTTTAGATTAATATTTTAATCTACTAAATTTTTTTTTCTTCCCCTTTTAAAAAGTAAATGGCAAGAAGTTAGGCTTTGTTTCTGCTGCATACATTATTGGCACAATTATATTTCAACTGTTGACAACCAGGAACTCAGCAAAAGCAATGACATTTAAAAGTCCTGAGACAACTGGCATTGAAAAAAAAAAAAAAAAAAATGGTTAGGCATGAACAAATCGAAATTTTGATATGGTCAAGTTGTCATTCACAAAATTTGACCATAAGAAGGTTCAAGATGCATAAAAATAAACCACAGTATCAGCTGTTGGGGAACACAGCAGACAGAGGATGGAATAAGTTAGCTTGTACAGTACTTTTAATTTTTATCTCAAAAAGCATGAATGTTCGGAATTTTCAGGATAACATGCGCAATCTTGAATAACTAAAAAAAAGAACACAACCTTTTTTACCTGCAGACTGGCATATTCCCAAAAACATTTATGAGTACTAGCAAAGTTTCAAAATTTGTTTTGCAGACTTACCAAAGTTTTTCCTGAATGTTGTATTAGCTAGGTATATGCAAGAAAAATTTATTTAAGAATGTCATCAAACAATTAGAAAGGTGGGCTTGGAGAAAGGAATTTCAGAATGAAAACTTGAAATAATTTATTTAAGCACGTAAACATTTGTCTCGAGTGTTATTAGGAGAAAAGCCAGCTTTTGTTTTCATCATTTGATTCAACTGCTGTTGTCCTTCTGAAATGTTAGGTAAAAAGAACAGACTTCATTTCAATTTCTGATAAATTTGTTATGCTGAAAATGTCCCATGGACCAGCAAAAAACTTCTGCTGAGGACCAGCACCAGTCTGCAGACCATGGGTTGGGGAACACTGCTCTAGATTTTGCTTTTAATTGTCTGAATTCTGCATTATTGTTGCTTTCTTCTCTGTGTATTTGGCATGGAGATTTGATGACAATTTTTTTGGGATATCATATGTACAGCAAGATTTTTTGCTGTGTAAGTAAGAGCAAGGGGAGGTGGGATTTGAAAAGAGAGAGAGAGAGAGGTGGAAAGTTTGGGAAGTGCCCCCCAGATGTAGGAGGAGATGGATGTGGGAGAGAAAAGGAGGGTGAGCATCAGCCCAGATGGGCAAGCAGCACATATAGGGAGCAAGAGAGGGCAGAGACAGGTGGCGACCCCTGTCCAAGGCGTAATTGCAGCCTCCCACACGCCTGACCACCATCAGATGAGCTGCAGTGCTGCTTGCAGCTGCTCCTCCTTCTCCTTCTTTCTTCTTCTTCTTCTTCTTCTTCCTCCTCCTGCTTGCAAGAGTGAGTACAGTATAGTGAACCATGTGGGACACTGCTCATCCAATCCTCCTTTTTCTTTTTGCCCAACACCACCTCCTCTACTTTCACATTTCTTCACATCTTGATGTTTTCATCATTTCAACTGCTATACAGTATATTCTTTGGGCTGATGAGGAACTGTGGGAAACTCAAATGACCTTATCCTTCATTTCATGAAGATTTATGCAGTTTTGACAACATGTCTTCAGTGTGCCTGGCTCAATAAATGAGGTGCTGAAAACACTGGTGTTCTCAGCATTTAAGAAGAGTTACAATTTTTGCAGGTTGAATTTGAAAAGAATTCAAACAGAAATTTGATGCAGAACATTTTTGAGCTTTAGGAATGAATGAATAGAACACTTTATTTGCCGCTTTTCAGCGTTCATAAGGTTCAATCAAGATTTCCACATCGTCCAAGGAAATATTGCTCAAGTTATATATGTTGGTAATCCAATTAATACACTTTCTGAAAGATATATATATGTATAGATGTCCAATTTGCAGGGACTCGCAAACATGCTTCTGAAAAGCATTCTTGTGCACATTGGCAAATATGTTTTGGATATGATGTAGACTGATGGAAAACCCGAGTAAAGTAGCATAAGGAAAGTGAGGGCCACAATGTTTTTATGTTAAAAATTTGCCAAGGATTCACTGGAAACATGCTGGGCTGACATTGTGAACCAAGAGTGGGGGGGGAAACTATGGCATCTTGATTAAAAGCCAAAACTTGAGCAGATTTAAACAACAACAAAAATTTTTTTGAGTCACAGAAACACTGCCACTGTTTCGCATCTCAAAACATTTGAAAATGATGATTATTATGGACAAGATATGCTGGAATAATTAATGCAGCGGGCCTGAAAGGCACAGGATACTTGTCCAGGTGGGTTCCATGATGAGTGTCCTCCGAAGACAACATTTGAAAGAAGAAAAAAAAATGAAAAAGAGAGAGAGATGAAGGAACGAGAAAAGAGCCCACGCGGGCGTGAGAAGAATGTGAGAGATGCAGACGAAGGGGCCAAGAGGCCACATACTGCACCGTGAGAACTGCATGACCCTTCTGACCTCTCTCTCTCTCTCTCTCTCTGTATATGTCTACTGCCTTTCTCATCTTGTCTGTCTGTCTGTCTCTCTCTCTCTCTCTTTTGTTGTTGTCAGATTGGAGGTTTTTATATAATTCCACTCGGTTGGCAACCCAGCACCTGGAGCAAGTGCCTCTGTCTGGCGACCAGTCACGTACCTCTCATACATCCGAGAGTTCACTCCCTCCCCTTTCTTCTTAGTATGAAAAAAAAAAAAAGAGTATCCACCCCCTCTCCCCTTTTTTTTTTTGATGCCATCATAGCCGTGAATTAATGAGTCACTGCTTTTATTTATTTTTTTGTCCATGATGTGTATATTCCGAGGTTTTCCCTTTACATTGTTGGATATATATATATATATTTTTTTTTCTTTTTTTTTTGAACTTCTCCATCAGGACCTTGCCCCGCCCACAAAGTAAGGGAGTGGGTGCGGGGGAACAGGAGCTGCACCCCTCTGCCAGGAGGAGGAGGCTGGCACACCTGCGGTGCCCGCCTTTCTCTGTCTGCTGCTTACCAAAAACTTGTGTGTGTGTGTGTGTGTTTATGTGTTGTACATGGGAGTTATGTGTTGGATGATGAGTGTTACCATTCTCGGTGTTAATTAGGTTGGTGTACTGTACAGTATTTTGCACAGAGCTGATGATTAAACTTTTGCTGCCCCCATATGGAAGAAGGATATTATTACCTGGGTGGGAAGAATTTGAGTTTAGGGTATGAATGGAGGAAGATGCTACAATGATTGAATGTTTTTCTATTGGTCCTTAACACAGCAAAACATTTTTTTTAATCAATGCTGCATTATGATTTTTTGACAATAATGCTGTTAGTTTGATACATTGTTTATAGGTTTAAGAAAGACAAATTATAGGACATCAGCTGACATGCAAGAAATTTCCAGATGATATTTACGAGCTGATGAAGGGTGAAAAAGTTTTCAGGATATTTGTTTGCCTTCTACTGGATAAACAGTATATATAGGGAACCAATATCAGAATATCCCATTTGATGAGACATTTTCCAAGACCAACCCCCTTTTCTGCAACAAGACGAAATGAATCTTGTACAGTTTTTATTTGGATGTTTTTAAAAGTTTGTGTAAATACACACAAGCAACATCCAAGTATAGTTCTTAATTCAAGTTATTTTGCTGCCAATGATGGAGGAACAGAGAAATGAGGAAATGTCTGTTTGGAGCTTCAGCATTATAGGGAGATCTAATTCCTTCACCTGAAATATTCCTATTCATTATTATTATTTAAGGCAAAATTAACCATTTTCATATTTCTCTGATTTTATTTATGATATTATGCCAAGGATTTTGAAAAATATTTTGATTACACTACTGTTGAAGGGTTCAAAATTCTGCATATTTTCTTGAAAATTTTCAGCAAAAGCTTCTCTTTTGTTCTTTAAACGATGCTATTTTAAAAATAAAAAAACTCGCTTTTAATACCTTAATTACAACAATCCCTAAAAAAAAGTTAGGTATACATTGTGCCCAATGTTTACTAGACTCATCAGATCATTTACTACTTTTTTTCCTTTTATCAAAGACACAAGAGGTTTCTTTCATTGAAGGTTGGATTTTTAAAATTGTATCTCAAGAATTTAGAAAATATGTCCCACATTAACCATTGGACAGCAGAGAGTTTCTTTAATTGCACAGCGGGGTCAAAATTATTTTTGGATGGGCAGCACATTTCAGTTTGACCCAAGGTCACTGAAATGCTCCCAGGTTGATAAGGCCTAAGGTGGGGAAAATCTGGAAAGAAAACTGCGCATTGTTTTCAGGATTCACCCATGCAAATCCTATGCCAGGAATGCAGGAAAAATGCCACCCAGTCAGGGATTCTTTTCATGTATTTTTCATTGAAAATTTTCTGCAGGATTAGAAAATAAAGTTTTTCTCAACTTAGGCCATGGTGCCACAGTAGGATTATTAAAATCTTGTGCTCAGTGGCGCAAAATTCTGCAAAAATATCCCAACTTTGCTGCACAAGGGTTAAAAACCCAAAGGTTACATTTCCAGATGCAAATATTCTTTATATACAAGATCACAGTGCTGCGATGAATCTTTTGAATCCCATTAAAATTACTGCAAATAAAGTATTTCTTGGTCCTGGCAAAGGTTTGGTTTTGCTAGGATCCAATCCCTTGGCTGTAAAGAGATGTCACTCTATTTGTGAAGGACTTTGCTGGTAATGCTTTAATTGATGGTGAAAAAGGTGAAAGCGTGTCTTATTCAGGTCCAGAATCATTGGCAACCCTTGTTTCAGAAGGTGAGGGAATGAGGAGTGGCAGTGACTGGTTCTTCATCACCAGCATAATCCATCTCTGCCTCCATTGTTGCCTGGGTTCCAGTCATGACACTGGTGCTATTTTTTTTTTTCATTTCTCCACTGGGGTCATGATCCCACCCTCATCATCCTTCTCATTCTTCCATTTCATTTTTTTTCTTCTGGTAACACAGATTTATATTTTTTAGTGCATGTGTCTATATCTCCTCCCCCTACTTTCTGTCTGCTTTCTGGTGGACCTGAAATCAAAAAATGAGCACACAAAAAGATGGGCTGCTGGGATCAGTTTTATGATGGAACATATATGGTTGAATTTGTTTACTGTACAGTATACAGAACATTCACCATTTGCTTGTGAGGTTTCTGGCAGTTTATTTGGGTTGGTGGTCTAAAGAGGCTTGGTGCAGTGGTTCATCAGAAAAGCTAAAATCATGCAAAAGGTGAGTATAATAGTAAGTATTGTACAACACATTTCTTATTCTAGAAAAAAACCAAATTAATCATGATGGGATGCAAAAACATCATCTAGCCAATTTTTCAAAGAAGTAAATTATGTCATCTTTGTGCTTGTACAGTATTTTGTAATTTGAGAACCATTTCCAGAAACTTGAATCTTTTTGGCAGGCTTATATCACAGACAAAATTTATTGGCAGGAGCATATCTGAGTTTTCAATAATTCTGGTGGAGTGCATTGTAATGGGATTTCCAATGCCTCTATCATCAGCAAAGATTTTTAAAAGAATAACTTGACAGTTGAAAAGGGTGGTGGCTTATTTGGGGGGTTCTTCTGATGAAGTTTGATTGCAGTTGTGTTGCAAAGATCCTCCATTTTCTTCTGTATGTTCAAGTGAAATTCATTGTGTTTATTCTTTTTTTGGAAAAACAAAGCAGTAACATACAATTACATCAAATCTTTTACATTCATCTGAAAATTCCTTGCTTCAAATAAGTTTTTTGTCCTGGCCCATCAGTAAAAATGTCATTTTGATGACATCAAAAATGTTTTGTTGATAATAATGCTTTTTCAATATCCAAAAGGATTCATTGCAACAAGATTTGACTGGATATGTTTTTATGCATATGAAATCTGTTCTGTATCTGTTTCGCAGAAATACTTTCTTCAAGAGCATGACCATCAATTGAGGATGCTGCAAAAGCAGTTGAACCTCTCTAATTCAAATTTCAAGGGACCAGCAAAAAATTTGACTCAGGGAGGTTTTGAATTGTAGAGGTTTGAGCTACAAAACAAAGCCCTTTTGTTCTGGGAAACATAGAAGAATTGCCCAAAATTTTGAACGGGGATATTTGGGTGCTTAAATTCCTTCTTAAATGAATTAAAACAATGCTATTCTTATAGGCATAAGTTCAGCTGCCCAATTTAGCATTTCACTTCCTTTAAAAACACACCCTCATTTCTGTTTTAATTATTTGTTCTTGTTTTCAAGAAAATAATAGCCAAAAGGCCACAGAAAATTTGACTAATGGAGTTTAGCAGGGAAAAACCTTTGACTTAGGGAGGTTTTTAATGCAATTTTTCTAAAGGGATTCAGATGGGGTCCTGAAAAAAAATTTACTTAGGGAGGTTCCAGTTATCCACGTTCAACTATTTTTGAAAGCCCAGAAAATGTGAATTTTTAGGAATGCATTGTGAAAACCAATACTGATGTACCAAGACTTTTTCAGGTGTATCTGCTAGCTACTGGCATTTTGCTGAAAAATAAAATGACGTTGTTCTAAAAGATAATCCGTTATAATAACGGATATTTTTTTTTTCATTTTTCTCTAACCTCTTTTGACATCAGCGCGGAAAATAGGCGTTTGGTTTTTCTCCTGCAAGTGGCTCAACTTTCACGGCATTATTTTTATTCATGCATCATCCATTCCTTTTTGATATTGTCGTCAGTATTTATTTTTATTTTTTGGGGGAAGTGAGGGAGGGAAATGAGAGGGATGGAGAAGAAGCGAGATGATGGTGATGATGATGTGAGGGTGACCTGTGCGTGAGACCCCAGCAGATGCCCCAGGTGGCCTCACAAGCTCATAATCCAGGTCCCCAACAAGCAGTTCATGCTCACCAGGGTTGCCAAACATCTGGCTACACCCAGGGCATCTCTGCTTTGAAGAGGAAATACTGTGGCATCATGTGGATGAAAAAAAAAAAAAGCGTTGAAAAGTTGCCTCATTCTTTTCACACAAAAAAATTACAACTGAGCCACTCGAACTCTTCAGGATTTTTTTTTTGCAAAATGCAGTGCAGAGGAGCAAAGAACAGAAATGAATAAAACCAAGAATGATCAATATATCCAAAATACTGTCCTGTATCAGCATTGAAAAGGAATGCCAGGTACTGACAATAAATTCAGTGCCTCTGGAAATAATTAATGGATTTGCTCAAGAACCAGAGGTGCCCTCAAGTAAGATACACACTGGGATTTCTAAATGCAGATGAAAACTGAATCAGAAAGAAATGTTGCTGCCTAATTTTTAGTAATTGAATAATGAAATATTTTGAGAAAACTGTTTTATGTAAATTTGTAAAACACAACAGAATTTCCATTCTTTTCAAAATTTTAATCTGAAAATTCTAAATTCAATCACTTTTTTTCAATTTTTCCAAGGCAAAATTTTTTGTTTAAATGTATCTAACATTTTTTCATAATCAATTTGGACATGCATCCAAATCCACAAAATTTAAAGAAAATAAGCACCTATCTATGAGTTGTACAATCCTTTTTTTCACTTTTAATTTGAAAATAAAGGTGTGCATGATATACTTAACCCTTGAATGGTGGCAGGCTTATTTCCATTTCATGGCAAAGTCAGGGTTTCTCCATACAGAAGCACATTTTGGTTTGAGAAATTTTCACCAAAATGCACTTGGGTTGCAAAGGCAAATTTTGAAAACCTCAGGAAGAGTAAATCCCATGATTAAATTTTTCTTCAATAATAGGGCAATTATTCTGTGCTAGGAATGCAGGAAAAATGCTACCAACTGAGTTTTTTTTTCAGGCAAAATATTTGCGGGAAAAGAAAAAAAATATTGGACTTTTCTTGAACTTTGCTCAAAGTTTAAGGTTTTTTTTTTTCTCACTTCAGATCTCTTGGGCTCACAATTATACAAGAAGATTCCAACTTGTCCACATCCACTACAGAATAAATATACATTTCTGGCCCTTTTATCTTGAGTAATATAAACCGGACTTTGGCAACACTGGCCTCACTGACTGACTGGCTGGCTGGCTGACTTGGCGGCCGCCATGGGGGGTGACTGGCGCCACCTGCTGGCGTCCCTTCGTCACGTCCCCACGGCGTCCCGTGGACCAGAAATTCCTGGGCACAGATTTCTGGCCCCCCAGTGTCTGTCGTCATCTCACCACCACCACCACCAGTCAAGCTTTTATGGTCATTCTTCCCACGCTTTTTTTTTTGTTCGGCCATTTTCCTCCTTATACTCTTCAACTTTATGCAGTAAAGACTCAATGCAACAAATACCGTTACAACAAAACTTTCAGCATAACAAGCTTTTTCTCAGGTCCCAGCAGAAAGCCCATGCCAAAACAAGCGTGTCATAGGAAACTTCCCAATTCCAGTAGAGGACATAACATAATTTTTTGAGGAATATCCAATTGATTCTCCAGGTAGACATTTCTAGACTATGGCAGGAACAATCTGAAATTTTCCATTTAAAATGCAACTGATTGATGGTTCTTATAGCATATATACTTACCCTAATCAGTGACAAACATGCCTCCAAGTGTTTCCACATGATATTTTCCCAGGATGAAGGAGATTGTTGCAACTGATGGAATGCATAATTGAAGCTAATTTTGTTTGTCAGAAGATGACTCCCTTTTTTGTACAAAATGAAAAATCTGAGAATGCTGAAAAAGCAAGATCTAATTTATTATTGGCAGGTTGGATGTGAAATTTTTTTTTCCGGGCATTAATTTTGAAAATATTATACTGGTGGTGCCCTGCAATTTGACCCTGATTTGTTGCTGGACTAGGGTGAAATTGTGATGCAGTCAAAATACAAGACAAGGTCGAATGCAATGTTTTCTTTATTGTATTTTAAGGTTTGAGAATTTATTTGGGTTAAATTGTGGGGCAAGTTAAATTTTGTGTGTCAACCTCCCAGAAAATTTGACTGTCAAATTGTGGGATGTAAAATTTGCAGCTGGTTGAATTTTCAAGGCACGACCTGAAATAAATCATTCAGTCTTTTATGAAGTCCCGAAAAAGTTTGCCATTACAGATGAACCTTGATAACTCAAACCTCCCTAAGTCAAATACCCCCCTAAGTCAATTTATTTCAGGTTCCCATCTGAATCCCCTTAGAAAAAATACATGAAAAACCTCCTCAAGTCAAAAGCTTTTCCCCTCAAACCTCCGTGAGTCAAATTTTCTGTTGGCCATTATTTTATTATCCCAGAAAGAAAAAAAACCATAAAAACAGAAATTTCTGTGTTTTAAAGGAAGTGGAAGAGTTATTTGGCCAAATAAACCCCTGCCTCCAAATTCAGCATCCTTTCAACTCATTTAAGAAGCCATTTAAGCCGTTGAATATCACCATTTGCATCTTTTCTATGTTTCCCTAAAAAAAGGGGCTTTTTATTGTAGTTCAAACCAATGTAATTCAAAACCTCCCTAAGTCAAAACTTCTCTATAGGTAAAATGCTTTGCTGGTCCCTTGAAATTGGACTTGAAGAGGTTCAATGGTACACAATTTTACTGTACAGTGCATCAAATTTACGTGCAGGTGGTACCTTGCAATTTGACCTCCCACAGTTTGACCATCCTGCAATTCAATGGTTGAATATGTAGGGAGGTTGACTTACAATTCAACCTATGCCCCCAAATGTGACCTGATTTGGCCTCTTTTTGCCTTTTTTTTTTTGTTTGCTGAAGTTTCTCAATAGTGTCTTGCTATTTGATCCTATAGTCCAGCAACAGATTAGGGTTGAATTGCAAGGTACCACTTGCACATATTCCTGCAAGCAATGATTTAACATTTATAATTGATTGAGGAATTTTCCCACAGTTTCTAAAAAAAAAAAAAAAAAGAAGTTAACTGAAAAATAAAAATAAATGAAGCCCAGATGTTATTCTTGCGTTCCTTTTCTTGGAACCAGTGTGTATTTTCTCTTCAACTCCCTTCAAAATGTAGACTGCTGGTGCAGAATCAGGGTCGGGTTCGCTCATCATTTAATCAACTGTTGTCAAATTAATCAAGCGCCGCAACCACACTTGGGTTTTTCCGAACAGGGTTTCGGGGAGCAGCAATTCTTAATCATGCATTTCTTCTTGGCTGTCGTGGACTCTTCTTCGTCGTCGTCGTCGTCGTCGTCGTCGTCACTCATGGTGAATCCCATGTTGAGGGTAGGGGCGTCCGTCGCCAAGGGGATGTCCATGATTTCCATCGTGGTGCCGTGGATGACATTGGTAACACTCACCATCACTGGAAAAAAAAAACCAAGGGGAGAAGGGGTGTCATAGTTACAGAAGAATTTGTACCAATATTAGAGTGAGACCCCGAGATGTGGACGTAATTGGTGCATCAAGAGTGTCCCTAAGTTGAAATGTCCCTAAGTCGAGTCTCATTTTCCCTTAGACTTACATTACTTAATTTTTAATTGGTGTTTTATGTTAAAAATTCTAACCATTATTCCGTGAAACTAAAATATTGTCTCCCAATTTGAACTGATTCCGATCATTATATTTCAACACAATATGGACATTTGGGGAATTGAATATACTGATACCTCTGTACATAGTACGTAGAAATGTTGGCATTCAATACAAAAAATAAAATTCAAGTGAAAAAGAGCAGAGAAGGAGTCCCTCTATGCTGGAGGTAATTTTTTAAATTAGCTAAATGGATGGTAAATTGGTGAGAGAAATGCCCAAGAACTTGTTTTAAATCAATTTTAGGGTTGGAAATATATAATAGCAGCAATTTTCTGCTACATAATATACAAAGAAAAGTAGCAATGAAGTCTGTCATTATTTTTTTTTTCTGAAATGTCAGATAGAGTAGATAGATAATGTCAGTGGAAATTATCTTAGGGAAAAATAAAATTTGGGTTTCCTCGTAATAGCACTTGAGACAAATTTCCACCTGCTAAAAAGAATAATTTTTTTCACTCTGAGAAACCTTTTTATGAGCTCAACTCTTTTTTATTCTTTGGAGACATTCCACTATATTTATTTTTGTTTATTGTTCATAATTTTTGCAAAAAATCATAAAACTTTGTAAATGCTTGTCATAAAGTATTCCAGGTTTCAAGCAATACTGTTGAGGCTACACACATTTTATGAAACTTTGATCATCTGCAGAAATCTTTTTGGGAAATTTGAAGGTCTGCCAAAACTTTTATGGAAATTTGCTGGTCGATGGACCCAAAAAGGTTGGGGAACCACTGGTCTAAGAAATTCAAGATCAATTCAACATGCAAGAAATATGTTATGACATCAAAATAATATAATGGATAAAAAATTATTTCAAGCAATAATTATTCATCAAGATTTTATGTACTGTATTGCGATTTCACTGATCTGTTTTTCTCACTAAAAATATTTTAAATTGCATCTGGAACATAAGCAAAATGATCGAACATTCTTCCACCAAGAATATATTGTCCAACGATTTGTTCCGAACATACGTGAAGAATTGCGAAGAGCTGAAAAAGTATGATTCATGTCCCGAATTTACAGATGATTTTTATGAAATTGAATGCCTATTATTAAGCAAAATCTACGGTATTCTGAAGCGAAATGAGACATAATCATTTTTTGAACATTTTCAGGTAAAATTAATGTCATTTTAAAAAGAATTTTCACTTATTTTCAGGACATTCCCGAAGTAAAAAAAAAAAATTACTTGAAAAAGATGAGTTCCATTGCTCAAACTTTCACACAACGAAATCAATCCATAATTTTTCTGTGCAAGAATTTTTTTTTATCAAGAATCAAGCAAACTTTGTCTTTGCCCTCCCCTAGCCATTTTTCAAATATTCTACATTTGAAAATATTACTTCCACCTCTATCCTTAGTTTTTGCTTTTGTGATGAATGACGGAATGCGGCAGAGGATTTTTTGTTCGATGCCGGAATATCCATGCAAGCGACATCTACATGCAAAGCAAACAACCTAGATAAAGGCTTTGTTCTTGTCACTGTCTGTAGGTGTTGCCTTTACATGAGATACTAACATTACAATACGAAATTATAATGCTTTTAAAACCTCTTCAAAATTGGCATCAACTGTTTTCTGGAGGGTGGATGTCTTGTACCTTTTAAGAATTCTTTGCATGCACATAATTTTGCAATGCATGAACATTAAATTGTACTTTCATGGTTTCATTGAAAATGCACCTGATTGTTTTAATTTTGCTTTCAAATATTAGATTTCTTTTTCAAGTATGCTGTACCGTGTTTTTTTTTTTTCACGCAGGCACTTCTATTTTTGCTCCTCAATGCAGGTGCATGATAAATATGGGCACAAATTTTCTTGAAAGTAAAGTTTTAGATTGCTCAATCAAACTTGTCTCCTCAATTTTAGTTTTTATGTTGATTTCCAGGTCAATGCCCAAATCACCCAAGGAATTTCATACCTAACTAGCTTGTGAATATTTTAGCTCCAGTATCTCCAATTTATCCTGTAATTTGAAATCCTTGCAATTTAGGGTCAACAGCAGGGATACGAATTAACAACAACAACGTAGCAAAAAAACACACTCACCCATGTCGTCACCGGTGTTGCCTTCGCCCATGTCGATTTCCATGGTGAGGTCGGTCATGCCGGCGCCATCTTTGCCCGGCTGGCACCCGGTCTCGCCCTCGGGGCACACATTCCAGTAGGTGGCGTAAATGACGACCCCGGGCTTGGCACCCCGGTACAAATGGGACACGTCGTCAAAGTACAACAGGCCCGAGAGTTCTTTGCCAGTGAATCCCTCGCGTTTGTCCTCTGTCGCCTTTGTCTTGATGTCGTCCACGTCAAACTCGCCGCCTTCTTGGCTGACCACCAGGGCCATGAATCTGGCCCCTCCGCTACCCTGATGATGATGGGAAATTGAGGAAACTTCTCATTAACCCCTCTGCAGCAAAGTTGGACTCTTTTTTTTTTTTTTTGCAGATGTTGGGTGCACTCAGGAATTGCATTAAAAAAAAACCATGACAGTGTGTGCAGGGCAAAGTCAGGAAAAATCCTGTCATTTTTTTCAATTTTCCACAGAAAATTTTCACTCAGGAATGAAAAAAAAATGAAATCTTCAAGGCTCCCTTTTTTCCCCCCTGGCCTTGTGTTGTTCTCCCATTCAAAGATTAAATTCAAGCTTGAAAGCCAGGAACACAGGTTAGCGTTCAATACAGAAAAAGTCCAACTTAGGACTTTCCCAGCATTTACATATCCCCAGATAAAATCCAACTTTGTCCTTCCCCACCTGGCAAGGGTTGCATACCTTTGTGCAAAAATGTTCTGCAGGTATTACATGGGGAAAAAGTCTGACTTTGCCCTGGGATGGAAAGGAGGCTGCCACCATCCAAGAGTTAATCAAAAATGTATTGCTAGGACAAGCCAGGAAACACCCATGCAGGTTTTAGCCCTTTCAGCAGCAATAAAGGGTTCTTCCCTTTCACATCAGGGATTTTTCGATGAGAGAGAGACCAGGAAATGCCAATGCAGGCTTTAAGCTTTCAACCCTTCTGCACCAATGAATGGGTTCTTGTCCATCAGTGATTTTAGGGGTAAGCCAAGAGCCATTAATGCAGGTTTCAAGCTTTTAATTCTTCTGCATGAAGCAAGAGGTTCTTTCCCATGAGATATTTTAGAAAGAGACAAGGAAAGTCCAATGCAAGACCAGGAAATTCCAATTGTGATTTGAACCATTATTGGACAAAGGAGGGTTCCTGGCTTTCCTGCAGCAAAGTTGGTATTTTTTCAGGGGAAGGGGCATTTCCAAAGGTCACTGAAATGCCCCCAGGTTGCCAAGGCATAAGTTAAGAAAAATATGGGTGCAGAAAATCCCTTTGTCTCAGGAAATCCCTAATGTTAATCCTATGCTGGGAATTCAGGAAGAAAACACAACCCTGTCAGGAATTGCAGTATTTTCATTTTTGAGGCAACGTTTTCTGCAGGATTATAAACAATTTTGGACTTTTTCTAGAAATAGGCCTTACCTCAAAAATTAAAAAAAATTTTATTTTTATTTTTGAAGCTCATGGGAATGAAGCTTGGCAAAAATATACCAACTTTGCTGCATAAGGGTAAACCCTTCTGCAGCAATGAATGGGTTGTTTCCCATCAGTGATTTTGGGAACAGACCAGGGAACTCCAATTTAGGTTTTAACCCTTGGACAGCAGTGGGTCAATTCCCATCAATAAACAATGCAAGGAAAATTGTGCACACTTGTGCATTTTGGTTTGACCAAAGATCACTGAAGCGCAGCTTTGGCTGAGTAGTAAAAGTAAAGAAAAATCTGAAAAAGCGAACAAGTGCTGTTTTCAAATTTAACTATAAATGCTAATTATATGGCAGAAATCCAAAAAAAAGGTTATAGGACAACTTGCACAGCAACAACTCACACGGCAACTTAAAAATTGCAATTTTTAATACTTTGGCTCTTCTGATCATGATAGGTTTTGTAATTTTTTAAGCTATGGCAAAAAATTGTGCAAATAAATTCCAGCAGCACAGCCCAAGGATTCATACATCCTGCAGCAAAGGGTTCTTTCCCCATCCTGTTCCTAAGTTCAGATTTTTTCAAGAGGGCATATATTTTGTTTCAATTGAGTGACATGAAAACCCAACCAGGTTGGCTACAGCAAATTGAATGAAGTCCTTCATGATCTTCTCAGTTTCCCCTTCATTCAAAGAAATATACAGTCAACCCCTATACAACCAACTTAATTTGTGCAACAGTATGTTGCGTGAAATCTCTGTTATGCAAATAAATAATTACAGTTGAACCTCAATAACTTGAACCTCCCTAAGTCAATTTTTTTTTTCAGATCCCTCTGATTCCTTTTAGAAACAGTTCATAAAAAACCTCCTTAATTTGGAGGCTTTTACCCTCAAACCTCTGTAAGTAAAATTTTCTTTGGCCTGCTGGCTATGATTTCCTGGACACAAGAAATAAAAAAGCAATACAATTAAAAAGTTATGTGACTAAAAAGGAATTGAAAGAGTCAATTGGGCAAAATGAACCCCTGCTTATAGCATCCTTTCAAATCATTCAAGAGGCAATTCAACCCCCAGAATACTGTACCAGCATTTAAAATTTTGGGCTATTCTTCCGTGTTTCCCAGAACAAAACAGCTATGTGTTGTAGCTCAAACCTCTATAATGCCAAACCTCCCTAAGTCAAATTTTAGAGAGGTTCAACTGTATTTAATTTTTTTTACTTTTTAGCATTAATTTTAAACCTGCAGAAGTCTGTTATGTGGATTTATTCCATTTTGTGGGAGGGAAAATTGCCTCCAGAGGCGGTCTGTTGTGCAAACTCCATTGCCTGGAAGGTCCATATACAGGTGAACCTTGATAAGTCAAACCTCCCTAAGTGGAATTTTTTTCAAGTCCCTGTCTGAATTCCCTTAGTATCAATACATTAAAAACTGCCCTAACTCAAAGTATTTTTTATAAAACCTCTGTGAGTCAAATTTTCTGAGGCCTTCTGGTCATTATTTTCTGGAAATATGAAAGATAAAATGATTAAAACAAACAATTTGATGCATCTTGAAAGGAATTGAAAGACAAATATTGTATAGGAAATGAACCCCTGCCTCCAAGTTCAGCAAGGTGTGCCCCAGAATATCCTCATTTATGATTTCCCTCATTTTTTCACTTCTCACAACAAAAGTGTTTGTTTCCTCAACTGGAAACCTCAAAAAATTAAAACCTCCCCAAGTCAAATTTTGTCCTGGTCCCTAGAAATTTGACTTAGATGGGTTGAACTGTATCATGCAGGGAGTTGGCTATTCTGCATTTTTTGTTTGTTTGTTAGATGGAGAAAATTTGTTAACCTGTCGCTTTTGTTTTGTTTCATGATGTTGATTTTTGTGTATAGAGAAAGCCATTCTAGAACAAAATTTAGTGATGGGTGCCTCATCATAATGTGCAAATACTGGGGGGTGAGCACAGCATTATTATTAGCCTGAGTGGGGAAATTGGTGCACACTGGGGATATGTTTGTAATTCTACACAGTGACCCTACTGTGCACCGGAAGTGTACCAAAGTTCTTCTGTTGCACATGCATATCCCTAATGTGCACCAATTGTGTGTTCACACCAGCAGGATTACTCAGGGTCACATTAGTAAACAAATAAGTTATGCCAAGGTTACACAGTTGGTGCATTTGTGTGATGCTCCTGTTATGTCAAATTTGTGCACCTTATGTAGCCCAGGAATGGTACCAACATTTTGGGTACTTTCCTGTTATCTCAGTACCTACTTTCCTGTTATCTCTGTACCTTCCCTCTGACTAATTTAACCTGAGCTAACCTAACTTCACCTAACCGCATCCCAAAATCAGTTTCTGCTTTCTTTGGGTTTCTGCTAAAACTGATTTTGGGAGGCAGCAAGGTAAAGTTAGGTTAGGTCAGGTTATTTTGATTAAAAGATATTTGTAACTAACATAACCTAACTTTACCTAACTGCCTCCCAAAATCAGTTTCAGCAGAATGCGGAAAAATAAAATTCAGTTTCTGGTAGGTTGTTGTGATTATGAACTTGTCCTGAAGATTTGTCTGGATGGTAGTGCGGTCTATAGGAATGAGGTACTGAGATAACAGGAAAGTACCAAATTTTGTCTACAGAGTTGCATGCTTGTAACCCCAGAATAGCCCATGTACACCAATTGTGACCCCAGTGTGTGCACCATTTGTGGGGGTCACACAAAGAATAGCTCCCAACTTGGGATATTAGGGGAACCACACTAACCTTGGGCAGCATGGACTCTTCATCAAACTTCCAGGGCAGCACCACCAACTGGGAGTTGCCCAGGTCGGACTCGGACTTGACATTGACCATCAACCACATGGCATAAGGCACCTTCTCCGCGCCCTGGGGGTAGTCCATGTCGAAACCCATGATGATGCTGCCGCGGGGGTCGATTGGGGATATTTTCGGCGGCGAGCCCATCATGCCGGGAGTCAGCTCGGCTTCGATCGGCGTGTCGCCGCTGCCAAAGTCCGCCATGGCCTTGGTGAGCTCGCTTGAGATGCCAAAGGCCAGGAAGGCCAGGAGTTCCTGCAACTTGGCCTTCTCCTCGCCCTGCAGCGGGGCACCGGGTTCCCCGCTGCCCGCTGCCATCTCGCCGGACCCACTCATGGACATCATCATCATGACCATCATGGAGTCGCCGGAAGGACCGCCGTCTTCCGAGCCGCCTTCCGCGCCGCCGTCGCCGTCCGACCCGCCGCCAGACATGCTGCCCGAGCCCATCATGCCCGTGACCATGCTGCCCGAGCCCATGCTGCCGGAACCCATGCTGCCGGAACCCATGCTGCCGGAGCCCGAGCCATCGCCGGAACCCATGCTGCCCGAGCCATCGCCGGAACCCATGCTGCCCGAGCCATCGCCGGAACCCATGCTGCCGGAGCCCGCGGCATCGCCGGAACCCATGCTGCCCGAGCCATCGCCGGAACCCATGCTGCCCGAGCCATCGCCGGAACCCATGCTGCCNTTAATGGGATCATTCATTTACATACTGTACTTTTATGTGACATGGTAGAGTCAAAAGCTTTTCCCCTCAAACCTTCATAAGCTGAATTTCAAAAGCCCTGTTGGCCTTTATTTTCTTGACACTAGAAAAATAAAGAAAAGCAATAAAAACGCAAGTTCATGTGCTTTAAAGGAAGTCAAACCTTTGATTGGGCGAATTAACCCCTGCCTCCAAGTTCAGCAGTCTTTCAATAACTTGTTTAAGAAACCATTTAAGCCCCAGAATATCACCATTTACATTTTTTCAAAGTTTCTCTGGAAAAGGGCTTTGTATTGTAGTTCAAACCTATGTAATTCAAAACCTCTGTACGTTGAATTCTTTTGAAGGTCCCTTGAAATTCAGCTTATATAGAGAGGTTTGATTGTATATGATACAATGTTTTCAAGTTTCTAAATACTAATTTTGAAATCATTTCATTTCAACACTCCCCATTTTTTTTCAAAAGCTCTGCATGGGGACACAATCCAGAAAAGGCTTCCTTTTTTCACCTTCTATGGGGTTACAAAGCCAGCATGACATGTTTGAGTTGATAATTTATTTAAATGTCCTCTGCGCTAAAGTTTCAATTTAGCTGTACTTTGACAGGAGAAAATCTGGCAAAGTAAAATATGAAGCAAATCAGGGAGAAAGATGGAGAGTTAACTTCATCACTTATTGGGTTTAAACAAGATATTCTTCGTCACCACATTGGAAGTGTAATATGATGCAATACTTTCAAGCTTTTAAACTCCAAGTTTTCATTTACCCCTTTTCTTTAGTGAATCAGCTATACTATAGCTGATGCAAAATGTTGAGAAATGTTGAACAAGACTCACAGTGAGAAATTGCCGCAAGGACCAGCAAAAACAGCAAGAATCTCATGTTGGATCTCATCTGCAGCAGTGACGTCGTTTCTTTTGTCTTCCAATAATGTAAATCTCAGCGAGGCTTTCTTCTTTTCTCGACAATTGCACTGAAAATAAGGAGGATGCTATTCTTTGTTCATCCCGGGTCTTATATACTCACCTTACCATACCATGCTGCCAATTGTCAGACGGATGTTCCCAATCTAGTTGCATCAGTGGAGAATCTAAGCGGAAATTTGGCAGACCCAGCATCGAGTACAAAAATAAGACAACGTGTAAGCCTCTCATTGGCCCATTTCTGTTCTTGCCATCCAGGAAGCATCCAATCTCTACACGCTCCAAGTGAAACAAAATTTGGCCTCAAACTTTCATATGTTGTGCATCCTGGCAGAAGAATTTCCCTCTCCATGTCTTACTTTTAATTAAAAGGCTTTCCTTTTCTGCAACAACCTAGCTGGGGGTGAAATAAAATGCATGTAGATTTGATGCTCATCATTTACTTTTTTTTAAACCTCCAATATGCCCTATATGGCAGTGGAAACTGCCACATCCTCAATCTTTTGCTTTCCCACCAGCATAATCTAGAATTGCCTGTTTTTATACTTGTCCCAGCTCTGAATACCCACAACTGCAACTTTCCACTGTGATAGTAAAGGCCTGACCAATGGCTACTTCAAGGTTTCTTTTGGAATTTCATAGGGGAAAAAACTAAATAAAGAATGAACCTGAACTAAAACTAAGTATTTTGCAAAAAAGTCCACAGACACTACTAGGCAGGCTGATCAAAGTTGATCCCTGGATCACAAAAAATCTTTAAATTCTGCAGATGTACATTGCTTCATGGAAATTCTTGTAAAAATGAAACAACATTTCTATTAAGGTTACATTCCACATGATTCAGTTAAATCCAGACAGTTGCCAAAAGATCATACTAAGCACTGAAACCTGTCTGTTTTTGCCTATATGTCTGCAAGTGTGATTTTTCAGATCTATGAGCATTGCATTTCAGTACAGATGATACCCCACAATTTGACTCTAAAACATTGCTAGACTAGAGTCAAATTGCAAAATGGTTGAATTGCTAGACACTGTGTAAAATTTAGTCAAAGCAGCAAACACACAATAAAAATGGTTGGAATAGGTCACATTCCCAGCAAACAGTTTACCCATGTTCTCACTGACATGGAGCCTGTATCAATTATGGGGCATGCATCAAATTGCAAGTCAACCTCCCAGCAAATGTGACCATCAAGTTATGGGACTGTTAACCCAGATACTTTATACTTGTTGCAAGGTTCTCTATTCTAGGAAGAATTACTGATTTTATTTCCTTCCAGGAACATGTGGTGATTTTCTCCCCCTGCAGCTGTGACGGATTTCCTTTGACACTGCGGGGATCCAAGAGGAAAAACCTCTTGGATATATGTATATTTTTGAATGAATGTATTTTACTTGGTGCGTGCATTTCACAGCATGTGTTATATTAAATGTATGCATGAGGTTTAAAGAAAAGCCTCCTTAATTTTTTCTGACTTGAAGGAATCTTTGTTATCCTTGATTCCTGTCAAGTTTATTTAAACCTCTGATTTTCCTGAGCAAGCCTCAGAAATTATCCAAACCTCAACATGGATATTTCTCAGGAAGCCTTGTAAAGATTTTAGCAAGACTTCCTCATTCCAAACTGTATTTGTAATTGTTGTGTATCTTGAAAATATATATCATCTAATATTTTATATATCCTCGTGTATATTATTTTATTGGATAACAGGACAGGAAAATGTTGGGAGGTAAAATTTCAAGACACGTTTGTTACCCAACTTTCAGAAAAATGCAATGTTTTTTTGTGTCATTTTTCTGAAGTCTTTTAAATTCCATGCTTTCTCCTTATATACACATTTTTTGTAGTAAGATTCTCCCCCATGTTATAGGATTTCTCAACAATTAAATTCCCTCTATAATGAATTTTCATAGTCGCTTGAGTTTTGTTGTACACAGAGTCCACCTGTATCGCTTTTGAATATGGAAGACAATTTTTTTTATTTGATCATCTTGACAATTATGTTTCATGTACAAACAAATCTTCCAAAATCTGAGAAATGGCTTTATTTGAGCTCTGGATATGTTTTCCGCTTGCAACTTAATCCATATCTGTATTATTCCTGGAACCACACATTCTTTCAAAAACTTTTGGATATAAATCCATTTGAAATTTCCTGGGATGTGAAGGAATTATAACATTGATCAGACCATTCTTACTTGTGAGTCACACAGCCAACTAACACTTTAAGCAGGATGTTCCAATGTTTTCTTGCAGTGAAATGGGATTTTCAGATTTTGATTTTTTAGTGAGAGGCAAAGATTGGGGAGATTTCAGAACAAAATCATTTATTCTTTGGGTTTTTATCCACCTATACCAGAAATGAAATCCAATTTGCAATGAAGATGGTTCTGACAAGTTTGTAATACCAACCAGTTGATGCATGGTAGTTAAAAACCACAAAAAACACTTTTTTCAATTGGATCTGCATGAAATCAGACATGTTCTAATTGAAGTTCATTTGTAAAGAAGTTTAAAACTTTAATTGCCAAGCTAAGCATAACTACAGTCAATCCTCAATTTAGATCCCCTCAATCTAGTGTCACTCTTGCATGTGATGCAAAAAATTTCCTCTGGAATAAATATCCCTCCATGACGGGGTGTATGAGCAAATGATTTAATGAGTGGAAAATAAAAGTACTTCACTCAGCCTGGCTGCGGCCAGGACTCAGCAGAGTCCTGGTGTAATGTTGGTTCAATTCAAAAGAATGAGAAGCACAATGACAAACAGTACATGAGAAGCAAGACAGCATACAACACTCAATACACAATTGAAACCCCTTGGATTTTGTCCACAAACAAGGAAGCTTTCCTAACACAAGTTGTTCTTTGCTCAAGAGAACCTCTTCAAGGGTTTGGATTATGAATTTTGAAAGTACCAGGGTTTCAATTCCTTCCATGGGTTTGGGAGGTTTAGGAATTACCTTTTTCAATAAAACCTCACCTTCACTTCCTCACCTTTCTCTACAAAAAGCACGTGAGGAAGCCTGAGAAAGATGATGCCTTCAGTTGGAGCCTTCATTTTTGCATTTGTTTTGGATATAGACTGTGTACTTTTCCAATATGATTTTCACAGAGCAACTTTGCCTTCTGAAGTAAAAAAAAAACTTGCATCAATTTGGACGGAAATCTTGTTAGGTTGAAAACTTGTTGAATTTTCATAAATGTTTTTCATGTTCCCTTCATCATGTACTGTATATATGGAATACCGTAATAAGATTGAAAATGAAATATCACTATCAAACTGCCTTTAGACTTCTTTGATAATTTAAAAATTGTTTACATACAATTGCCTGATGTAATTTTCAAAGGAGGTATTTCTGATACAATACTTCAGGTTTCAGGGTTTTTGTACCTACCAGATGTTTGGGCCACAATATTTTTTCTCCTTTGGGATTTTCTCCTGCACCCATATCAATATCATCATGGATATGATCATTTTTGCCAGAATAATGTAATAGCAGGTTCCATTACAGTTAATTATGCCCAAAGGTTTTAGAATGTGTTGCTTTCATAAACTTTTTGTGAAGGTCTGTAGCAATGTCACAGTTTGCTTGTCATATCATACTATTCTATAGCATTTAAAAATATTTTTGTCAAATACAGTATTTAAAATAAGTAACATAAATTAATTTAACATGACTTCATCACATATGTTGCATATCTTGCAAGCCTGTTTAAATTAAAAAAAGTATTTGAAATACTGTACAATATACTTGAGTTCCCTCTGTATTTTTCATCTGAAATCTCAAGCTCAGTCTGTATAATGGGCATTGGGAATTGTAGTAACTTTCCTGTGCTACAACAGTTGAAGCACATTGTGAGCAAATGCTGAGAGTCAGGCTCCCATAGGTGTGATCATATGGATTGAATTTTGATTTGGAACATTCTAAATGGGAATACTTTGCTTTCAATACTGTATTGCTATACTGAAAAAATTGTTCAACCGTCTGCTTATTGATGAATGCCTGGTAAAAATGTATATATGAAATCAAATGCTTCCAGGGGGGACTTGCTTCCATTTGCATTTCATTCCAGAACTAAACGCTTGTAATTTCAGTGTTATTTTCCAGCTCTTTGTTTCCAGTTTTAAGGAGATAAGGCGCAACAGATTTCAGTTGTTGGAGGAGGGCATGGGGTGGTGCTGGGCATCCACCTCTTCATGCAGCAGTTGCAGTTTTCACAGTGTGGCATCTCTATCCTCTCATCAGACTTTTCCCCTTCATCATCATCATCATCATCATCATCATCATCCATGTCCATTCCCAGTCCCATGGTCATGCGAGTAGCTCCTGTGTCAGATCCCATGTCCACAGCCATGTCACTCACTTGCAGCTCCTCTGGGCCCAGCATGGTTTCCTCCATGACAATTTCAGTTGTTTCTGCACATCAGACACCATCTTTGTCATAGCACAATTTATATTGGGCAATGGAGGGTTTTACTGTACAGGAGATGGTAAGAATCTCTTTAGCAAACATTTTCTCAATCATTGTACACTATGTACAATCATTGAACACTATGTACAGTCATTGTACACTATGTACAATCATTGTACACTATGTACAGTCATTGTACACTATGTACAATCATTGTACACTATGTACAATCATTGAACACTATGTACAGTCATTGTACACTATGTACAATCATTGTACACTATGTACAATCTGGTTCCTGTCATTGTCTTGTGGGGAGATAATACCTGTATTTATGACCAAATAATTTACCCATGCCACCATTTACACCATCGCTGGCACCAGAGTCACCACTGGCCTTAGAGGGCATCATGTTCATCATGCCCATGCCCTTGCTGCTGCTGCCGCCACCTGCCGCGCATCCTGGTGAGTCGTCAGGACAAACGGACCAGTAGTTGGCATGGATGACAACGCCAGGTTTGGCGGCACGGAACAGGTGCGACACGTGTTCAAAGTACAGCAGTCCTGCCAACTCCTTGCCAGTGAAGCCGACCCGCTTGTCCTCTGACACCTTGGTTTTCATGTCATCCATGTCGAATTCTCCGCCTGTTTGAGTCACTATCAGAGCCACAAACTTGCCACCCTGCATGATGGGAATCAAAGAGTGAAAAAGTGAAGACCAGAGTGAAGTACAGTAGAGTACATACAGTGGAGCCCCCTATATATGGACGCAGTGGTAATTGGTGTTTCAACCTTGTTCCTCGAACTAATAAGTTGGGCTCAAAGTTTTGCAAAAAAGAGTTGGCAATAACTCTGCTACTCCATCAGCATATTTAAGACAAATTTCTGTAAAACATTAGCACAGATAGGCCCATTCCCTGCTGTGGGCCACATCAGAGACTCAGGTGCTTTTTTACCCCCTCAAATTGAGAACCACTCAATTTTTTTTTTTTAAATATACCTTGTTGCTCTGCAAATATAGAAGAAATGTACAAATTGAGACTTTGTTTAGCTGTATTCCTTTATCTGTAATTTGGAATATTGTGTTCCTGGTGATATTCCATCATGTATTGGTATGACAGTAAATGTATACACAGTGTATACTCATATTTCATTTTTATGATTCAAAATTTGATTTAAAAAAAGATGTTGCCCATGTGTTGCATGCTGTTCTCATGGCAGTAATATGAGATGGTACCAGCTGTGAACCCTGTTTGGAAATAATAAAGAAGCCTTCAAGTAACCGACCAAAGTTTTGCCAAAAATTGAAAATTAATAAAAGGTTCTTATTTCATCTAAATATGCAAGAAAAACACGCTCAATGAAAATTTGGCTGTTCACCATTCTGAAGCAACTTTGGGATATTTTTACAAATTGTTGTGCCACTGTGCACTGGAAATAAATAAAAAACAACCTACGGTACTTTTGTGCCAAGCCGTAAATTGGGAAAAAGTCCAATATTCTTCCTGCAGAAAATTTTGAATGAAAAACTTGAATAAAATCCCTCACTGAGTGGCATTTTCCTGCCTTCCTGGTATAGGATTTGCATGGGAAAATCCTGAAAACAATAGAAAATGTAGCTGCACCCCACAGCAGCTGATGATTGTGTTTTATTTTTGGAATTGTCATTTTTTTCTTTTTTTCGCACCAGTTTCATCAATGGTACAGTAAAAAAGAAATAATAATGCAGTATTTTTCCCCCCCTGCTGCTGATGGAACACAATTAATTGATGGTGGACTCACAGAGGGTTCAAGCTGATTGGCGTCAAACTTCCAGGGCAGCAGCTGGAGCTCCGGCTTGGCAAGGTCCTCCTCTGCTTTGGCATTGACCACCAGAAAGTTGGCAAACGTCGTCTCCCCAGCACTGGCATCCGGGTAATTCATGCAGATAACAATGGCGATGCATCCATTGGGGTCCAGGGGCCCGAGTTTAGGCGGCACGTTCATCGCAGAGGCCGTCATTTCGGCGTCCGGTTCAAGGTCGACCCCGTCGGCAAAGGCCACCAGGGCCTTGTCCAGTTCGCCAGCGATTTCAAAGGCCAGCAAGGCGAGCATCTCCTTCAATTTGCCCGACTTTTCGGAGTCGAGTGGGGCGCCTGGCGGACTCTCGCCGCCGCCGCCAGTCTCCATGCCGCCGCCGGCCTCCATGGCGCCCTCGCCTTCATCCATGCTGCCGCCGGCTGCCGACCCGCTGCCAGACATGCTGCCCGAGCCCATGCTGCCGGAACCCATGCTGCCGGAACCCATGCTGCCGGAGCCCGAGCCATCGCCGGAACCCATGCTGCCCGAGCCATCGCCGGAACCCATGCTGCCCGAGCCATCGCCGGAACCCATGCTGCCGGAGCCCGCGGCATCGCCGGAACCCATGCTGCCGGAGCCCGCGGCATCGCCGGAGCCCGCGGCATCGCCGGAACCCATGCTGCCGGAGCCCGCGGCATCGCCGGAACCCGACTCGCTTCCTGATCCTTCTGCGCTTCCACCACCCCCATCGACGGCGGAAGCTCCGGCGGCAGTAGTTGCCGCTCCGGCGGCAGCACTTCCCGCTGCGGCGGTATTAGTTCCCGCTGCGGCGGTATTAGTTCCCGCTCCGGCAGAAGAAGCTATAAATGTGTGTGTATGTGTGTGTGTGTGTGTGTGTGTGTGTGTGTGCAATTGGAAAAAAAAAGGAAAAAAGAAGAGAAGGATGAGGAATGAGCTATAGATTAGCAAACTCAACATTTCAAACTGTAATGTACAGTACTGCATACATAGGACTGCATTGTTCTTGTTGTTAAACTCACTACAGTATACATACCTCTCATGTGCACAAGTACAGCAGTGGACCCCTATATTTGTTAACAATAAGTTGCTCAGTTGACAAACTTTTTGGTTTTTGAGGAAAAATCCCTTTGGACTAAAAAAAAAACAAACAAACTTTGGTTAACTAACGTTTTTCTTGGGGAGGGAAAATATCCCAAATATGAAGATTCAAAATTTGATTTTGAGGCTGAAATGTATGTGGTACAATCCAAGTGCAAATAATTCACCTATGGTCTGATGTGAAATTTTCTTCTTGCTCCTGACACCCTCACATGCGTATAATCTTGTGTTGTAAAAAGTTTTTAATGGGATCATTCATTTACATACTGTACTTTTATGTGACATGGTAGAGTCAAAAGCTTTTCCCCTCAAACCTTCATAAGCTGAATTTCAAAAGCCCTGTTGGCCTTTATTTTCTTGACACTAGAAAAATAAAGAAAAGCAATAAAAACGCAAGTTCATGTGCTTTAAAGGAAGTCAAACCTTTGATTGGGCGAATTAACCCCTGCCTCCAAGTTCAGCAGTCTTTCAATAACTTGTTTAAGAAACCATTTAAGCCCCAGAATATCACCATTTACATTTTTTCAAAGTTTCTCTGGAAAAGGGCTTTGTATTGTAGTTCAAACCTATGTAATTCAAAACCTCTGTACGTTGAATTCTTTTGAAGGTCCCTTGAAATTCAGCTTATATAGAGAGGTTTGATTGTATATGATACAATGTTTTCAAGTTTCTAAATACTAATTTTGAAATCATTTCATTTCAACACTCCCCATTTTTTTTCAAAAGCTCTGCATGGGGACACAATCCAGAAAAGGCTTCCTTTTTTCACCTTCTATGGGGTTACAAAGCCAGCATGACATGTTTGAGTTGATAATTTATTTAAATGTCCTCTGCGCTAAAGTTTCAATTTAGCTGTACTTTGACAGGAGAAAATCTGGCAAAGTAAAATATGAAGCAAATCAGGGAGAAAGATGGAGAGTTAACTTCATCACTTATTGGGTTTAAACAAGATATTCTTCGTCACCACATTGGAAGTGTAATATGATGCAATACTTTCAAGCTTTTAAACTCCAAGTTTTCATTTACCCCTTTTCTTTAGTGAATCAGCTATACTATAGCTGATGCAAAATGTTGAGAAATGTTGAACAAGACTCACAGTGAGAAATTGCCGCAAGGACCAGCAAAAACAGCAAGAATCTCATGTTGGATCTCATCTGCAGCAGTGACGTCGTTTCTTTTGTCTTCCAATAATGTAAATCTCAGCGAGGCTTTCTTCTTTTCTCGACAATTGCACTGAAAATAAGGAGGATGCTATTCTTTGTTCATCCCGGGTCTTATATACTCACCTTACCATACCATGCTGCCAATTGTCAGACGGATGTTCCCAATCTAGTTGCATCAGTGGAGAATCTAAGCGGAAATTTGGCAGACCCAGCATCGAGTACAAAAATAAGACAACGTGTAAGCCTCTCATTGGCCCATTTCTGTTCTTGCCATCCAGGAAGCATCCAATCTCTACACGCTCCAAGTGAAACAAAATTTGGCCTCAAACTTTCATATGTTGTGCATCCTGGCAGAAGAATTTCCCTCTCCATGTCTTACTTTTAATTAAAAGGCTTTCCTTTTCTGCAACAACCTAGCTGGGGGTGAAATAAAATGCATGTAAAGTATATCTAGCAAACCTTCCTCAGCCAAGTCATATAGTCTTTGTCTTCACAAATACAATTCTTCAGCTTCTGTTGGTCTCCTCTGCTTTTTCTAAGCTATAGGTAAAGACATAATAATAAAACTTCAAAGAAATAAATTTCAAAAGAGCCTCGGTTGAGGGAAGATTATTCTCAAAAGAATTCAACAAAATTGAAGATCCCAGAGTGGATTTTAAAATTATGTAAAGTAAGTTACCTTTACTATATCTATCACCTGTCAACATCAGGCATTTTTATATACTGTATTAGGAGCCAATCAACTGTATGTAGCATTTGAATATGAGAATCTTGTCTTTGTTCCAATAAAATTGCTGAAATTTATGCTCATTGTACAAGAAAATGTACCAACAACTGAGAAATGGATTCATTTGAGCTCTGGATAATTGACCTTTAAGCCCTCGCAACTCAAGTCCATAAATTTCAGAAAACATGCATTTGTGGAAAACCTTTCAGAGTTGAATAAGTGAAAAATTCCCTGAGATGTGAAGGAAATGAAAACATTTTCTGGCATTTTTTTCTTGTTACTAATTCAACACTCACACCTTAATCAGGATGCTTCAATGCTTTCTGCAGATGAAATTCCATTTCCCTCTCAGAATTTTCATTGCTGAACAATGGTCTGAAAGATTTGAGAATACATTTCTTACAGCTATATGGGTTTACAGTATTATTATAGTACAGTACTGTAAGAGAGACAAGTAAATCCTGCTTTGAAAGAAGAGGATTTTGATAAGGTTTCTCTTGTTGCAACAATTCCAGTCAAAGCAGTTGAAAAGCATGGATAACACTTTCATCCAATTAAGTCTGGATTTAATCAGCCTTACTTGAATGGTATCTGATGTGCTTCCAAAAGATTTGATAAATGTCACTGCAAAAGTCTGCAATATAACACTTCCATATATGCAAAATTACATACAAATGGAGAATAATAAAAGCACTGAAAATAAACTTGCATATGCAGCAGCTTAAATGCAACTGTACTTGCTGAAAAAAAATATTCAAAGCAAGGAAGGACAAAAAGTTTAGAAATAATGGAAAAGGGCTCCATTTGCAAATTTATTTTCAGTCAAAAAAGAAAAAGGCAAGTTAAAAATACTTGTCATGATAGCCTGTACTTGTCAAAGGTCATTCTGGTAAATATTGCTTATAGCCTATGAAGTGTGCCAAAAATCACATGGACCAATCTTGATAATAATGCTGCTGATTATACATCAGATTTTGGAAAGTTAACCAAAAAATAATATCTTTCCTCATAAAACGCAATAACAGTATTGCTGTAACTAATTAATTTGTTAGAAAAATTAGGGCCACATTGTGAGCAGAAAATCATATCTCAGACTTTTCCAAAATCCCAATGGCCCTCAGGCTATAACATTGTGAAAGCCATGCTGACAATTTATGCACTCAATTTCCTTGATGAAATGTTGTGCATCACAGAAGTTGACAAATAAAAATATCATTCCAAATTTCATGCAGAAATATCCCTCTTGGCAGTTGCTCAGGCATATTCAATTCCAACAAGCACATTTAAATATGACAAATAGCTGATGAACCACCTTTTTGCCTCTTGGCTTAAGCATTACAAAAACAGTTCCTGATTTTCACAAATTTGCCAAAAATTTAGAAGTGCACATATTCTCAAACTAAAATTGGACACCTCAGCATTATTCATTTTCAAGTGTTTTTTTTTTTAATGTGCAGTTCAGTATTGATCTGTTTCATAATTCATCAGCTTTGACAAATTTTTCCTGATTAGATTCCTAAAGACTTTTTCCATGTATGGAGTTATACTGCAGGTGAACCTCAACAGCTCAAACCTCCCTAAGTTGAAAACCCCCCTAAGTTGAATTTTTTTCAGGTCCCATTTGATTCCCCTTACAACCAATAGAGTAAAAACCTCCCTAAGTTGAAAGCTTTTCCCCTCAAACCTCCATAAGTCGAATTTTCTGTGGCCTGCTGACCATTATTTTCCTGAAAAAAGGAAGAAAAAAACCATACATTTATGTGTTTTAAAGGAAGTAGAAGACTTACTTGGGCAAATGAACCCCTGCCTTCTAATTAAGCATCCTTTCAACTCATTTAAGAGTCCATTTAAGCCCCAGAATATTACCATTTACATTCTTTCTAAGTTTCCCAGAAAACAGTGCTTCATACTGTAGTTCCAACAAATATAAATCAAAACCTCCCTAAGTCAAATTTTTTTGCAGGTCCCTTGAAATTTGACTTAGAGAGGTTCAACTGTATTACTGAATAGGGTTCCAAGTTTGAAATCAAAACCAAGTCTTGTGTCCTGTTTCCATTTATTGAACCTACTCAGCTTTGATATGATTTACGACGAATTGGAAATAATAAATCAATCTTGAAGGAACTCTTGAATGCATGTTCTTGAAATCTAATTGAAACCATCAGAGAAAGTCTGCATGGGCCTGGAGGAAAATCCTGAAGTAATTGTGAAACATTTTTTTTTATGAAAATTGTCTGACAATTTCCACTCTACCCAAACAAACAAACATGATTCAAAACTGCATCCGCTGAAATAAAAAGACAATCGCTTTTCACGAATTTCAGTCTTTCTCAGCCAAGTTTGTCACAGAGCGTTGTAAAAAAAAGTTGGAAAACGAGTGATCACGTCATCATCAAAATGCTCTTCTTCATCTTCGGAGATGTCGGGTCCTCCTTCTAGCAATCCCTTCTCATTTCGACGCCGACTTGCATTCCTCAATGGAAACCAACTGATCTTCGGTCAATCGCAAGGCCCTGCTGACCAAATCATACACAAATGACAAAACGAAATGAAAACATAGTTATACTGCAGTAAAATTAATTTAAAAAAAAAAAAACACGCGCAAGAGAATGAAAAAGACGTGCCTGAGGTCGGTTCCGTACGCGTCAGCCACGAGGGCCACTGCTCCGGTGGCGGCATTCAGGACGCCGCTTTGCCATTTCGCATCCCGACTCCAACTGGATTTGCCAACCAGCACAGTTGCTCCCATTACTGCCTTCCGCAATCGCAGCCAAGCCGCCAGAATCTTGCACACGTGGAACCGAACCAGGCCCTTGGAGTCTTCTTGCAATGCAGCCACCAACAAATACGAAAGACCTAGGGAAATATACATTTTTGTACATGCACAATAAAATATCATTACAAATAATAATGAACCATCAATACAAATTTTTCAGCATGACAAATTTTTTCTCAATTGCCGGCAGAAAGTCAATTGAGTACATGTTGAAACACTCTCATCATAAATTTTGAATAACTTGTTCCAAAATCTATTCAGCATGACGAACTTTTCTGAAGTCCAAAGCCAATCAAATACATGTTGAAACAATCTCATTAAAATACATTTTCACAAATTCTTATAACAAATGATTCAGAACAACAAAATTTACCTCAAGTCCAGGTACAAACCCCATCAAGTATTTGTTCAAACAATTTTATTATAAAAATTTTCAAGATCTTGTGAGAACAAATTAATCAGCATAACAAACGCTTTCTGACGTCCCCAAAAGTTTGTTTTAAGGAAGTTTTACTCCACTACATGCTTCTCAAGACTGTGACACAATTACAGAACAACCAAAACCACATGTTTTTTCTCTCACTTCATTGAAAAACCAACATTAGTCAGATTCAAAGGTAACCTGGTACTCAGGCCAAAACAATCAAGCAAAGCAGGGAGTGACAAGAAAACAGATTTGTGAGGGATCTGCCACAACTTGCCAATTAAGGTGACATTAATCAAGTGTGAAAATATTCCTCAGCAATTTGAGAAAACCAGGAAAACTAAACTAAAAGCACTCTTCTCTGATGTCAAACATCTTGCATTAACACTTTCAGGCCAATGCCAGCCCTGCAAACTTCCTCAAATATTTGTTTTTGGTATTTGATCCAAGGCCATCACAAAGAGTTATAATGAAGAGGCCTTTATTGCTTCACTTGCTGGTCAGCCTGATAAAAATCTTTTTCAGGGAGAAAAATTGAATGATATTAAAGCTACATGTAGAAGGACCACCAGTAACCTTTGTCCCCAAGACCCCAAAAAAGAAAGCCATCATGAAACCGCATTATTTGAAATAAAAAGTAACCTTGAATGCCCCAGACAATGGGTTGACTGTCGACCAGCCACTGCGCAGCCTTGGGATCCCCTTGCTCAGCATGCAGGGCCTGAAACACTCCCGACTCCTCAAACTTCTGCTTCATCTGGCCCAAAACGCAAAAAAAAATTCGTATCAAATTCAATCCCTCACCAATAAACGCATTCCATTTGGGAAACTTCAAGAACACTCACAGCCTTGGCAGAGCAATGAAGCCTGGCCCAGATGTGCTCGCAGCCTTTCGCCCACGGAGACACGGCTGGCTCAAGAACGGGATATTCGGGCCAGCAGGGACTCTCGAGTCGCCGCACGGGCGTCGACGCCGACACTGGCGACCCAAACGCCGGGCCAGGTCCCGCAAAGGCTCGTGGTCGCATCCCTTCCGGCAACACCTTGTTTCGCAACCATTGCGGCTCTCCTACAGTCGCCGGCGCCACTTTCTCTATGTGTTGCTGCTGCTGCTGCGATTGCATCTTGGTCAACCCCAGGTGTTCCCAAGTGGTGCTCTCTTCGTTCACAGCCGACAACACTGCGTGACACACCTTGTCAAACACTTGTCCATTTATTGCTGAAACCAGAAAAAAATAAAGTTTTCATTACATTCTGTTCTTCTCACTAGTAGCAGATGATGTTTCACGATAGCATGACTCTGGAAGAGACCCAAGAAAAAAACTAGACCTTCTTTGATGTTTTTGAAGATGAAATTAAAAAAAAAGGATATGAACCCTTGCTCTTGGAAAAATACAAAATGCACTTAAGTTTTCCATTGTTGCAAAAAATCAGTGAAAAAATTTGAAATTTTCACAAGGTGTAGGAAATTGTATGCTAAAAACAAAATAAAATTTTCATTTCGTAGTCATATTAACGACCACAACACCCTTCACTTGGTGCACTTTAAATGCAGCAACTCTAGGGATCCACC